CATACACCACTCATCATACACCACTCATCATACACTACTTATCATCCAGTTTGCTCTACCTCCAGTTGTCTCCAGTGTCAATAGCTCTAGCTCCAATAAGCTCTTAGTTTCAATAGCTCTAGCTCCAGTTAGCTCTGGTTTCAACAGCTCAAGCTCCAGGCAACTCCAGCTCCAGGTGCAGATTTCGTGGCAGGTGCAGCACTTTGTGAACCTCCATGCGTAGATTTCGTGGCAGGCACAGCACTTTGCGAACCTCCATGCGCAGATTTCGTGGCATGCACAGCACTTTGTGCACCTCCATGTGCAGATTTCGTGGCAGGCGCAATACAAAATGCGTTGTGGAGAGGCAGCGAACGCACGAAATGCTGTATTTTTCAATGGAACCGGTGGAATCGTCCCTCCATTCGGATTAGAGTTTTCACTTGTTTCTTGAAGTGCAGATTTCGTGGCAGGCACAGCTGTGAACCTGCATGTGCAGATTTCGTGGCAGGCACAACACTTTGTGAACCTCCATGTGCAGATGTCGTGGCAGGTGCAGCACTTTGTGAACCTCCATGTGCAGATTTCGTGGCAGGCGCAGCACTTTGTGAACCTCCATGTGCAGATGTCGTGGCAGGTGCAGCACTTTGTGAACCTCCATGTGCAGATTTCGTGGCAGGTGCAGCACTTTGTGAACCTCCATGTGCAGATTTCGTGGCAGGCACAGCACTTTGTGCACCTCCATGTGCAGATTTCGTGGCAGGCGCAATACAAAATGCGTTGTGGAGAGATAGCGAACGCACGAAATGCTGTATTTTTCAATGGAACCGGTGGCTCCGAAGCTGGCAAGTCAAGGTCTGCGGAACGACGGGTGCGAGACGGTCTCGGGTCATTCTCGGATCATTCTCGGAATCGTCCCTCCATTGGGATTAGAGTTTTCACTTGTTTCTTGAAGTCTTGAAGTGCAGATTTCGTGGCAGGCACAGCACTTTGTGAACCTGCATGTGCAGATTTCGTGGCAGGCACAACACTTTGTGAACCTCCATGTGCAGATGTCGTG